TTTATTATTGTTAGCTGCCTAGAGCCACTGGTCTGGGATGGGCGGCTATATTAATTGAATGAATGAGTGAATGAATGAGTGAATGAATGAATGAATGAATGAATGAATGAATAAACAAATAAATAAATAAATAAATATTAAAAAGTTCAATATATCTGGAATCAATCTATTTTCAGCAGCAGTGGGCAGAGATGTATTTGAAGAACAAGGTTGAAAGTTTCATTTTACAAGTTATAATTTGCAGACAAAGGATATAATTCTCTACACAGGATTAAATCTCATTAAGTTCATATTGGTGTATTCCTATGTAAGGCTATAGAGAATTACAGATTTGAGAGTATTTCTGTTTAAGGGATTAAAAGTTTCTGGTCTTAAATCTCCAAAGATGCAAATCTATACCCAGTTATCTAGAAGTAAATATTATTAATTTCAACAGGACATCCTTTTAAGTTGGCAAAGTTGTATACAAAAAGAATCTGAGTAAAAAAAAAAGTTATGTTTACATGTCCAATCTTATTTATTTATTAGGTAGGCAGATAGATAGACACGCAGACAGAATTTATATGGCTGCACAATTCAAACATTACAACTCTGGGTAGTTTACAGCAACCCAAAAATCCAAACAAAAGTACAACTTGAATTAAAAGCAAGCAATCATTCATAGACGACCTGGCTCACATTAATAACCCTTCCCTTCCAGATAGGAACTCTGGTCATCCCATTCCCCAATGCCTGAGGAAAATTATGGTTTGTTTAAACAAATGAATACATGAAAAGCATATATTTATTTAGTAGGTACTATATTTCACAATGTGCGGCAGTATGTGAAGCACTTGACTCTGAATCATTAAATCAACCACATCTTTTTCCAGGCTCACTCAGCTGCTTTGAAAAGCTACTCCTAGTAATTTTTGCATGTGTGCACGTTCATTGCCACGTCACTTTGATTTTTCTCAAGAACCTAATTGGCTTTGCATGCAGGCATATGTGGAACTGGTTAAAACTGGTTTCATGAGCCTGGAAAAACAGGTAGATGCTTGATGATTTGAAGAAGAATATTATGGATTATCACCATATATTAGAAAGTAGAGCTGTGAAGGGCTTTGGATTGATTCCAAAAGGTGCTTCAGAACACTGCTAATCTTTAACATAGCTGTGTCTTTCCATGGAACTGCACAATGAACTTTTTCATAGGGTATAATAGGGTATTTGGAGGATCTTAGAAGTGACAAGGCTCATTCCGAGACCAGCAGGATAATTAATTGGATTTATATCTATTTAATATCACATAATTAATTGGATTTATGTCAGTTTCCAACAACAGTGAACAGGTATGTATTTGAAGAACATGGTTGAAAGTCGGCACCAGGTCTTTTGAAACTGGATATCTGAAATCCTGTAGATGTTTAGTTAGGAACAAATATAATAACAACAACAATAACAACAACAATAACAACATTAAATGATACCTTTTAACACCATCAAACAACATCTGCCTATCCCAGGTCCTTAGGGAGGACTTGATAGATGGATAAAAATGCCAAATCCAGTCTAAACATCTGGCTGACTGTGCAACCCATCATCATCATCATCATCATCATCATCATCATCATCATCATCATCTTACATAAAACCCTCCATCCTTGACATTTGCATTCAATAGCTAGCC